ATGGCTCAGAAGCAGCAGATGGCCCGCAGCGAGGAAGTGGCACGGAGCGAGGAGATAACCGGGAGCCAGGAGGTAGCTCGGACCGAGGCCGTGGTCCCGAGCGACACTGTGGCCCCTAGCGAGGCCGTGGTCCCGGGCGAGGACGTGGTTTCGGACGAGGAGGTGGTCCCGGAGGAGGACTTGGTTCCGGATGAGGACCTATTCCCGGAGGAGGACCTGGTTTCGGACGGGGACGTGGTCCTGGATGAGGACATGATTCGGGACGAAGACGTGGTTCGGGACGGAGATGTGGTCCCTTACGGAGAAGCGTCCGAAAGCGAGGACATAGCGACGGCTGGGATCCTGGTGACCATCACTCACAGCAACGAGAAGTATGACATTAATGTTAGCCCACAGCAGGGCACTGGCGAACCAGTTGTCCAAGACGTGGCCCAGCTTGTTGAAGAAGCCATAGGAGTTCCAGTGTCTTCTCAGAAACTGATATTTAAGGGAAAATCTCTAAAGGATATGGAACAGCCCTTGTCAGCACTTGGAATACAAAATGGATGTCGGGTCATGCTAATTGGGAAAAAGGACAGATCAGCGGAAGAGGTTGAATTAAAGAAGTTGAGAATTTTGGAAAAAGCTGTGGAGAAGAAAAATATATATTAGAATCTCAGTTTCCTTAACAATAAAGAACCCAATATACAGAACTTTGATGTTATATTCCAAGATCTTTGAAAAGATCTTTTAAATACTACTTAAAAGAGAATATAATGACTCTGAAGAATCATTATGATCTTCTTGAAAGAAGACTTCATGTTATTGTTGTTGTTGTTGCTGTTGTGTGTTGGCAAGTCAGAACTGACCCATAGCTGATTCCCCAGTGGATTTTCAGAAGTAGTTAATTGAACAGGAGGAGGTTGCCCATCCTTCTTTCCAGAAGCTGCTGATGGATTCCAACTGCGTACTTTGGGATTTCAGAGCAGCTTCTTACGGACTAGGCCAATAGAGCTCCTTGTATTAGAACCAGTTCTATTAAAAACAAAGACCTCATGAAATATTACACAAAATGGGTGACTATGGAGGACATCAGTCACAAAAAGACAAATGCTGCATAATGCCACTGTTATAAAACAGGACTGACAAAGGGGTTGGGGAAAACTAAGAAAAGAGGGGATAAATAATGTACATGGCATTGAAACAGATGAGGAGAGAACTGTATAAAAGGAATATATGATTAGATATTATTGGCATGACAAGAGTCCACAGTAAGAGCTGTGTAGTAAAGTTGTCAGGGGGATGGGGGGACTGTATAACAATGAAAGAATTTTTTTCCCAAAGGAAAAAGCGAAGTTGGGGAGAGAGGCAGGGAAGAAAATGAGCAACATTGAATGGATGGAAATGCAAGTTCTTTATAAACTTTCATTAAGATCTTAATTTTAAAAAGGAACCAGTTCTATAAAAACAGTGTGGCAGACATGGGAATGGCTCTACTATCTTCAAAAGGGCAATGAGTCCACCATCAACAGCATCAATAGCACAAAGTCAATTCCTATGAGATGAAACATGAGCCCCATGCTCCACACTTTCTACTGATTTTAACGAGAGGTCTCCCCATAGTCTACTACTTCTTTACCAGGTTTGAGAATTTGTTGCAATGGCTACACAGAATGCAAAGACAATACTCACAGTTGAAAGTTATATTAGATAAGTAGCAGGTTATGATTTATGTATGGAAACATTCAGGATACAGGTTTAATACAGCCTCTTCTCAGGTAGTGTACTCTCATGGCATAGTTCATAAGGACTTGCACTTACTAACCCAAAGAAAACACATCTCTGACATTTTTAATCTAGCAGTGGCTCCTCAGAATCAAGATGGGCAATCTTTCATGGCTTTCAAATACCTGCCAGAGGGTAGCCATGAATTTGTTCTGACTTGTTAGCAATTAATTTGAGTTTGTTTGTTTGTTTTCTTCTCAGAAATGCTCACAGGCAAGTTTGTCTCTGATCTTTGACCTTGAGGCCTTACTTCCCATCAGAAGCAAGTATTACCAAGCTCTTTTAGTTCTGTCAGTTGTCACTGTCAGTCCACCTGCAACTTAACAGCGATGAAGACACCACTCCAGGGGAGGACCAGAGAGTCAATCCACCTCAACTTTATTAGGATAAGCACTGCACTTATACACAAAGGACGATAAGATAGAGTGGGGCTTGCAGATGCAGTCTGACAATGTTAGGCTGTATATAACATTTTGGCGATATTCCCACCCAGGGGGTTTCCCGAAGTGCTTCTTCCATAGTTCCCAGAAATTTTTCCAAAGAATCTCACCCACATCGTGTACTGAGGGTGTTGTACCGAAACATGTACCGTTTACTACCGACGGTATCAAATGTAGCAGCCAATTCGTACCACACGGGATTTGTCTGAAAAGCAGGCCTGGAAAGATGTAAACTCTGTGAGTTACGTACACTATGACTTTCAGAATGAATGAAAGTATTTGTTTCCAAAACGGTCCTGTGTGTCGCACGGAATTTACAGTAATCTGTGTTTTCTCCTTGTAGGAAACGTAGCAATTCAATATAAAAGTGCAAGTATACACCTATGCAATGTTCTGTTCAAATTGAGCAGCCCCTTACTTACTGAAGCCCTCGAATGACACACTTTGTTAGAAATATCTTTCTCTGTAATCTGCCTCTTGCTGAACAATGAATCACTTAACGTAGTGATGTTCTGCTGTATATGACATTATATTCGTACCACACGGGGTTTCCGGAAGCTCTTCTTTCTTGGTTCCTACAAATTTTTCCCAAGAATCTCACTCACATTGTGTACTGAGTTTGTTTCAGTGAAAGATGTACCGTTTACTACCAAAGGTAACAAAAGTAGCAGCCAATTCGTACCACAGGGGATTTGACTGAAAATCAGGCCTGGAAAGATATAAACTCTGTGAGTTACGTACACTATGAAGTTCAGAAGGAACGAAAGCATTTGTCTCCAAAACCCTCCTGTGTGTCGCACGGAATTTACAGTAATCTGGGTTGTCTCCTTGTAGGAAACCTAGCAATTCAGGAAAGAAGTGCACGTATATACATATGCAACCTTGTGTTCGAATTGC